ATCCAACCTAAACCTCCCCTGGTGCAGCTTGAGCCCATTTCCTCTTGTCCTATTGCTTGTTACTTGGGAGAAGAGCCCAACACCCACCTCACTACACCCTCCTTTCAGGCAGCTGTAGAGAGCGATCAGGTCTCCCCTCAGCCTCCTCTTCTCCAGGCTGAACCACCCCAGTTCCCTCAGCTGCTCCTCATAAGACTTGTGCTTTTCAAAGCTTTGAGAACAGTTATGCACTGCTTAAGTATTTAATTTATATTATAATCTGAATATATTACCATCACTTTATGGCTTTGTTGCAATTAGACACCTACTTAAAAAGGTCCTGGCACAGCACGCCCACCCCTCGCTTACCGCTGCCGATGGAGTCGGAGCTGCTGGGGCTGTGCTGCCTGGAGATGAGCTCGCTGCCTGCCTTGCGCGGCTCGGCCGTCTCACTGCACCGCCTCTTCCCGTAGTTGAGCTCTTCCCGATCGGCCTCCTGACAGCGCCGCAGCACGGCCATCGAGCGCCGGGTTTTCTCCACCATCTCCATGATGCAGTTCAGTGCCTGCAGGGAGGAAGGCGTTTGCAGTCTTGCTGCCTGCTCGTGAGGTCACCTCCCAAATGTCTCGTCGGAGGTACCACAGAGACCATCCCCGGGACATGAAACACAACGTCATTTCACAGGAACAAGCTCTGAGCACAGTATTTCGGATGATGCAGTATTCAAACGGGCAGGTAAGACTGTGGGTCCCATACCCACACATGCAGCAGCGATGCTGAGCAGCACCGGCTGCGAAGGAGGTGATCACACCTGCACCATGGGGCTTTGGTCACCAAAGGAGGTCTAGGGCCATGCTTCTAAAAGTGGAATTGAAAAAAAAAAACCAAACCCCACTTTCCTATGGGAATAGGGTGTCCATGCAAGGGCTGGCTGTGATCCTGGTGCCTGCTCTCCATAGCCACATCCCAACTTGCAAATATTCAGCTACGGGGCCTCTACTCCACACATTCCCCCTCCAAAACATCAGCTTTAGAGCATAAGCAAGCATGGGGTCTCTCTGCATTTGTGATCAAAATTGAATTTCAATCCCATCTGTTTGGGGGAAACACTCCAGTGAAGTGCTTGGATGAGCAGCCTTCCTCAGAGGGAGGAAACAGAGTGCAGAAACTCCACCAGAAGTACCAAGTCTTGCTGTTGGTACTGCGTTGAGGCCCATAAAAGGCTGGCAGCCCAGGAAAAAAAGTCTTCAAAAAATAATGATGGGTTTACTCAGTCTGTAAACTCCACATCTGTGCTGCATGTAGCACATCTGCATGCTTGTCAGCACAGCGACGGCCTGGGCTGCTGCAGAAGAGACCCGTGTGGGGACAAGGTTGGGTTTGGTCGCTCAGCCAGGGCAGCATGAGGCCGCGCTCTGCAGAAGCCCCCCAGCTCCAGACACTTTGTCCGGAGTGATTTTGGCTTCCACTGACCATGGGCAGAGAAAACCTGCCAGGAAAGTGCTACTGCTCCTGTCTGCCCTCCCCACCATCCACGTTCTTGTGGTGGCTTGTTCCTCTACAAGCCACCAAGAAAGCCCGGATACGGTATCAACAAGAAAATAATGAATTGGAACAGGCGGAGCACTGGGTTGCTGCGTCCCACAGAGATTCCCACACCTCCTGCCGTTCCTTACGTGATCGAGATGTTTCCACTCGTCAGCCCACTCTCTCTCCGTTAAGCGGTGGTCCACCAGCTCGTCCTGGTATCCTCCATTCAAACCTGCAACAGCCCGAAGAGTGATTAACTGGACCGAGCGCTGTCAGTGCTGGAGAGGGAAGGGGGCCCCGAAGCAATAATGAAGAGCTGTATTTCCAGCTACCTATAGCTGGGATTTTAAAACACATCTCAAGGAGGTGGCTCTACCGGGGCAATTCCACGCCGGTGCTTTTATCCCTGTCTGTGTCACTGTCTCGGAAGCGCTACAATCCACTCATGGGCCTGGGTCTGACCTGCCTGGGGAGCTGGCTCCCTTGTTATAATCCCACAGGAGCTCAGAGCTCGTGATTCAGGCTCCCCTGTTGGAAACACAGCGTGCACCTCCCACTCACCCCTGGGGAGAAACAGGGCGGGGGATCGGGCTCTGCTCTCCCGCTTTCGTGATCTTGGAAAAGTTAATTTCTATTTCCAAGTAGTTAGCGATAGGACGAGAGGAAATGGGCTCAGGCTGCATCAGGGGAGGTTTAGATTGGATATTAGGAAAAATTTCTTCACGGAAAGGGTAGTCAAGCATTGGAACAGGCTGCCCAGAGAGGTGGTGTAGTCCCCATCCCTGGAAGCGTTCAAAAAACGGGCAGACGTGGCACTTTGGGACATGGTTTAGTCTAGTCCACCCTTAATTGGTTTACTGTGGACTTGATAATGTTAGGTTAATGGTTGGACTGGATGATCTTGAAGGTCTTTTCCAACCTAAACGATTCTATGATTCTATTTCCCTGCCCTCAATTCTTGCCTGCTGGATTGGCTATACTCAACTCACACACCAGCTCCTTCCTCCTCATCCTCAGTGGCTCCAGCCTTTACACTATATAGGGAAATACAAACTCTCAATCTTCCCATTTTTAACCTCCCATGGTCAGTTGTTTTCTCCAAATTCCCTGCAAAAACTCTGCTGAGGACGTGCCCAGCTTTACACAGCTCTGGGTGCCAGTGGCCAAGCAGTGACTGCTGCTGAAGCTCAGCTGCTGCACCTCCCACCTCCTGTGCCCAAAAGCCCTCCGGGCTTTCTCACCAAGACCGCCGTGCCTGTCCCGAATCTCTCTATGCTCCAACATCTTGCTGGGGTCCCTGTAGAGGTGGGAGGTCGCGATATCTTCCAAGGTGTAGTGCTGGAGGGGCGGCGGGGTGGGGTGGAACTGCCCGCCGGGGTTCATCAGGGGGATTGTCAGGGCAGGGCTGTGCCGGGGCGCGGGGCTGATGGTGCACACCCTCTTGGCCGGAGGCTCCGTCGGCAGCGGCTCCCTCTCAAAGCTGCTGTCTTCCCTTCTGCAACCACACCGGCAGAGAGAGGTGTTCGTTAGCACCACGTAAACATGCTCGGAAAAGGAAAGATGAAGATTTCAAATCAGCGGAGTTTGGGCAGCAATGATTTTACCGGGGGGTAAAGGCAGAGAGCTAAACCAAACATGCTCAACTTGTGAACAGATCCACAAAATGACCCTGTCAAAGAAGAAGTGATGCCCGAGTGTTGTGATTCATCTTTCTGAGCATGACCAAATTAAAATTTCACAGTTTTTATAAATTTGAGGCACGCTCCACATAATTACATAACAACTTTTAACTTGGAATAAAAGGTGGTGAAAATGAACCTCATCCTTCCCGGCCCCGACAGTGCCTCCGCTCGCCGCCTGGGGAGGCGGAGGACTGCTTGGCTCTCCAGCTCGGGCTTTTCAGTGCTACCCAACAAGTCCCTCTGGAACAGAACCTGCCTGAAAGAGGATCCCAACCTGAATTCGCAGCGCAGGAGGAGCAATCAACGGTGTCTCATTAACAGCCAGAATAGTTGCTGGGAGTGATAAGATCCTACAGTTTAGCCCTGGATGCTGCTTGAAGCTTTGACAGCAGCAAAGTTGAAACAAAAGTCGTGACTTCAAGAATTTGGCAGAGCGACGAAAGCTGGTTTTACCTGTCCGGACTGTGCCTCTTGCCATTGCCATTCACCTCGATCAGCAGCTCGGAGGAGTCAGCGGGGGACGTGGTGTTTGTGTTCTCGTGCTGCGCCAGGTACTGGGAGGGCGTCTGCTTGGCAGCCCGGGCGCAGTGCAGCAGCTCTCTCTGCAGCAGCGGGAGGTTGGCCTGGAAAACAAGCGTGGGTCTGGTTTACGCAGGCTGCGGGCAGGCATTTCCAGCCATTCAGAAGGTTTGCTCTGCGCACGTTAATACCTCGGAGCAAGAATACCTAGAGCCTGCGGACCCCACTCAGGATCCTCCAGCTCCTGGTGTCCGCGCTGTCAGAATTACCCATCTTTTCTCAGGAGCTGTGGATGCCTGACACCAGTGCACCCAAAAACCGAGCGTCACGGAAAGCGCTCTGTGCTTCCATCATCTAACCACCCCAGACACGCTCCGTATGCCAACACTTCAAATATTCTAGATCTGAACATTTGCAAATAAGATTATAGGATCAGAAGCTGCCGAATGGAGCTTGGTTTGTCTCCTTTATCCCTAACATACAAGCAGACATATGCGGCACTCGTTATAACGTTAGCTTTCTGCAAACCAGTCCCACATGGCCACCGCTACGGTCTGTGCAGTCTGTCTTGGACTTTAACAAAATTGCTGTGGTGCTCGCAACGAGAGCTTTCCCAGCAGTGACACGCTGCCAAGCAGCACAGACCAGCACGCGGAGCGTCGGTAAGCCCCACCAGCTCCCTGTCACCTTCAGGAAGGGGATCACAAACGGCCGGAGGGGGAAGTTCGTCGCCTCTTGCAGCTTGCAGTGAAATTCCTCGATTGTCACCGTTGAGTTCTGAGAAAAGAAATTAAGAAGCAAAATGACAATTTGTTCTTATTTTTAGAGGCGTGGGAAACAACTCCAAACGAACAGAACTGGAAGGGAGACTGCCCCTGCCACTACAGGACTGACAATGTTTGCATCGGATCCTGCCTAACGCAGCCAAAAAGACTCAGGCCAATGGAGTAGAAACGCTGCACTAGGCGAGGGGCGAGTGCTGCGCACAGCCGGGCGCTGCCTGGCCCGGCTCCGGGGCCGGGAGGCAGACGCTGGCTCTGGGAGGCAGCAGGACCCAGCTGGCATCTCCTGCACCCTGGCCAGGTGGCCCGGGGCAAGCTGCGGGAAGCCAGGCAGCGATTCCAGCTGCTCTGAGTTGCCCACCTTCCTCTCCTCCTTCCTCCCTTTTCAGCTCACCTCGTCTAACCCAGCCACCATCACCAAGTCTCCATCAGCCTGCTGCTCACCCAGCTAGCACAGTCCTCCCCCGGCCCAGCGCTGCATCCCCTGCGGCTGTTCGGCCTGGGTGCTCCCTGGGACAAGCAGCATTTAATCACCCGCACGTACAAAGTTCATCCCTGCAGCAATTAGCAGTAAGAATGACAGTCAGAGGAACCTGGACAGCTTATCGTTTCCTTTCCAAATAAGCTCAGGTACAACCCTACACCCATATTTATTTGTACGCCTGCCTTCTTCAGCAGCAGTATTCTGCACCCAGTGCTCGAGCACTGTGAAAGCCCCCGAGGCCATGGACAGACTCACGTTTGCTCTGCCCACGCCAGCCTTGGAAGCAGAAATACTCCAGGCTGCTGCAGTCTAGCTACCTTCGCTGCGTGCTGAGCCTCAAAAGACACGTGCCAAAAAGCAGAGATCGGCTCGGGAGCAGCGGTGGGTGCCACACAGGACGGCAGCTGGGCAGGCGGCGCGGTGCTGTGCTCCAAGGTCTGGGCTGGCACAGCATTTCTACCAGTTAGTTTGTATACCTGCAAATTAATATTAGATACAATTTCGCAGCAAGACCTGCATTATTTGGTTTTTGAAGGGTGTTTTCAGCTGTCCATAGCTGCTAAAGGGCACGAGGGCATACAGGCACTGTTTGCACATGCACGCACTGCCACCAACCCCAGCTCTTGCAAATCCGAGCGTGGGAATGCAGGAGAAGGGCAGAATCCTAGAATCATAGAATTGTTTAGGTTGGAAAAGACCTTTAAGATCATCCAGTCCAACCATTAACCTACCCTACCAAGTCCACACTAAACCAATCAAGGGTAGACTAGACTGAACCATGTCCCAGAGTGCCACCTCTGCCCGTTTTTTGAACGCTTCCAGGGATGGGGACTCCACCACCTCTCTGGGCAGCCTGTTCCAATGCTTGACTACCCTTTCCGTGAAGAAATTTTTCCTAATACCCAATCTGGCACAGCTTGAGCCCATTTCCTGTCGTCCTATCGCTAACTACATGGGAGAAGAGCCCAACACCCCCCTCACTACACCCTCCTGTCAGGTAGTTGTAGAGAGCAATAAGGTCTCTCCAGGCTGAACAACCCCAGTTCCCTCAATCGCTCCTCATAGGGCCTGTGCTCCAGAAGATGCATAAATGTTATTTACCAAGCCCTTTCCTGTAGCTGCACCTTCAGACTGTCACAGGCATGAATATGACTGGAAGAATCGACACCTTTGGTAATGCAAATACGCACTCACACAAAGCAGCAGCAGCAGCACACCAGAATCCCAGACCTCCTATTTTGCAACAGCAGCCTTCCGTGGACCTTGGCAATAGTTAACTTTGCTGTGCCAGTGGGCTTGTTTTAAGATATGCAGGAGCAGCCCATAAAGAGGAGAAAAGCCCATTTAATACATTGCTGTGTATCAATAAATGAAGTCTTTGAAGTGTCATGGTGTTCTCTACACGCTCAAGAGCGGAGCGGGACTACCAGCTTTCCAGAGCGAGTCCCCGCTAGCGACAGGACCCTGCTCTTTCCATTACGCCTGGCTGCCTTGCCGAGCAAAGCAGCGCTGAGTTTGAGCACACCGAGGTCAGGACAGCGCTAACGACGTGGTGGCTGGAACCGGCATTTCTTTGTATGGAAGCAGATCAGAAGTAAACTGATCTGTGGTTGGGATCGGGCAATCATAAATCTGCACGAGCAAGGAAACATTTCCCTAGTACAAAACTACAGGGTCCTCTGAATTGTGTGAAAAGTTTCATTTACGAGAGGAAACGGAGAAGCCCAGCATAGCCCACGGCTTCCAGCGAGCCCACAGCACCAGACCTGTGGCCTTTATAGAAAAGCTTTGTCCAAATCCTTCCAGTTTTCCTCAAGTTTAGCTGCACACAAGCTCATGTCAAAGCCTAGTGACAAACAGCTTTTTGAAACTCACCAAAGAGGAGAAAAAAAAGAAGTCAGCAAGTTTACCAGAAAGCATAAACATTACAGAGTCTGGCTCAGTCAACAGCTCTGCTCGTAAAGACGCAAACAGATAATATTGTGTAACACGGGCACGCGCTGGCTGCCAGGATCCCACCGCCAAAGTCGTTTGGCAAAAGCAAGGCGGCCCGGGCCGGCGTGCGGCACTCACCACTAACGCCAAGACCAGGGTCCGGACCTTCTCCCCGATCTCTGGCGAAATGTCGTTGCCGAACTGCTGCAGGGTAGTGAGGAAGCGCTTCAGCTTGCTGAGCTGCCGGGCACCGCATGTGGCCGGGAGCTGCTGGTTCGTCAGTGAGGAGGAGGAGGAGGAGGAAGGGCCGTTGCTAAACCTCTGGGGTGGGGATGGTGCCCCGTTCAGCGTCGGGGGGGAATGGTTTATTCCGTTGGGCACTGCAAACGGGAGACAGAAGTGACACTGAGCATCAGATGGGCACGTCCCGGTGGTCTGGTGTTTAAGAGGATCCATCTTCCACCCCAGAACCTGCTGCTGCTGGCTGTTTGCTGCTAGCAAAGGGGGCAAGAACCAGAAAAGGGGCTACGGGCAGAGCGGAGCCCACACGCCGCGCCGGAGGGCACCCAGTGATGGAGCCGCTCACCAGCGACGCGCGTGCCTTCGCCTCAACCTTCCCCTGAGCTCGCGGGGACGCTCTGCAGCCCCCGGCACGTGAGAACCACGTGCCCAGCCAAGGCACCTGCAGGCGTTTTCCTTGTGGGATTGCTCCGGTGTGTTTTACACCCCAGCCAGTGACTTCCCCGGCATTTCTCTCCTCCGCTCAGCGAGCTTCGTATGCAGGGCCATCAAACACCAACAGAACGAGGGCTCAGCAGAGCGGGCACACCTCTATTCGCATTTGAGGCAGCCCGGGGGGACACGGGGTCAGGCTGCATAAAGCCGCCACTGCGGCAGACCGAGCTGTGCCGTCCACTCAGCCCAAGGAATTAAATGTGCTTCAGCTCCAAGTTTACAGCCCTCGGCAAGAATTACCGATCAGCGTTTTCTGGCCCGTGTCAGGCAGAAAATGACACCAGACAACCCAACGATCCCTCCCAGCCCTGTCGTTTGCAGTAAGTCATCAGCGCTCGTCACAGCCGGGGTCCCACTAGCAGATACGGCAGCTCAGGTGCCCGCACCTCACCCCGAGGAGGGCCGAGCACCCCGTCCTGCAGCGCCCGCCCGCCGTATCTCCCCAGGGATTTACGGGCAGTTTTGCAAACAGTTGTTTTTTCCAACCTGGTCCCATCTGCAACTTTGCCTCCTGTAAGCGGCAAGCATGTCGAAATCGAGCGAAGGGCTGGAAGTTTGGGAACTCGGCAAGGGATTAGAATAAATTGTTGACATCCTTGCACCACCGTTGTGCAATCTAGAGCCCTGTCTGAAGAGCAGCTGTGCGCTGGGGCCCCACCTCACTGTAAACCCAGAATTTTAGAGGTGAAAAGTCCATCATCCTAAATACAGTTTTAGCTGATCCGCTGGGTTATCCTTAAAAGCCCAGCCCTGAATCCCTTATGGATGCAAGCGCTGAAGAGAAGGCCACAAGCTACAAAACCCATCTCAAACGACAGCGTTTGGAGGAGAAGCACTGATGTCACCTGGCAGAGCTACCCCTTGCGCGCGGGGCAGGGGGAGGTACGTGCTGTGATGGAGCAGCAATTTGCAAAAAAAGATGCCAAAATTTACACTGCAGCTTCACGAGAATCATACCAAATCCTCACGACCCCAGTGAGAGTTTTTCGGAGAAGGCAGGAGGTACTCGAACAGTTAAACCGCTCTGGGGCACGCCAGGATCGGAGGCTGGAAAGGCTCCACGCACCTGGACCTGCCGTGGTGAGCACGGGAGGGAACCCGAGAAGACTAACCAGAGTCAGTTAAGATGCAAGGGAAAGATAAGGCTAAAGAGACCATCAAAGGTGGCTCCGGCTAACCAAGGGGTGACAGGCTCTTTGGAGGAATAACAGAGACGTGTCCTTTCGTAGACAGCGAGATGATGAAATGAAGGTGAAGGCTGGGATTGAGAGACAGAGGTGCAAAGGCAGAGCAAGCTCACGCCTTTTGTTACGGAGCAACGCAGCCTGAAAAACTCCTGTCCACACCGGCTTCCCCAAAGCAGCAAAGGAACAGAGATGTCCTACAGAGATGGCACGTACCTGCAGGGTCAGCTACCGTGTGCTAACGAATGCAGAGCGAGCAAACGCAGTACTAGCAAACACAGAGTTATGTGAAAGGCAACGCTTCTGGCAATTACTCGTAAAGAGCATTTATTACACAATAAAAGTGTTATAAATGGGGGGGGGAAAGCCGCCCAGAGAAGCTCCTCTCAAACAGCAAAGGACTGCACAGCTCCGTGCTCTCCAGCAGCCACAGCCGAGGTGCTTTGCCCCCTTCTCTCTTTCACTTCCTCTTACTCTTTCAAATGAAAAACTAGGGAGAGCAACGGGCTCTATTTATAACCCGGGAGAAGCAGGGGCTGTGCAACCCAGCCAGGGGCCGGGGGACCCTCGGGAGTGGCCGCCAAGGACGGGAGCAGCGGACGTTGATGGACTCAGGTGATGCCACGGAAGCGGAGCGAGCCTCCGTTAGACGCAGCCCCCATAACCGCTTTCTGCGTTTTTAGGCTTACCCTGCCTGACCCTCCTGCAAACGGCGTTACCGCAGGGCGGCTGGCAGTTATCTGATCCTGCGCATCGCCAGGATCTGCTCTGCCACAGACCACAGAGCTGGGCTGGGACCTCTACCTCCAGGTGAGAAGACAGCGCTGAAGCAAGCGAGGTAGCATACCGAGACCAGTGGGGTTACTGGTTTGGGGAGAGGAGGACGCCAAATTCCTGGGAACACAAAAGTCATCATCTAGGGCTACTCTGTTAAATTCTGCCTTAGGTCCTTAATAGTCGAAGGCTTTCGCTGCTTCTCCAACCCTTTTGTTAGCAATCTGCAGGCAAGCATGGCCTTCCTCCGGCACGCTCCTCCTTGCCTGCCCAAGCCGTGGGCTTTTACAGGGCAGGACACACAGCTGCCGACTCTGACCAAGGCCCTTTGGTGCGACCAAGAAGTAAAACAAAACAAGAACGAACTTCACCACAGGTCGCATCTCTCATCTATCTTGGAAAGAGGCAATTAAGTCATCCACAATCAGCAGATTCAGGCTCCTTGGCCCTTAACAGCGTGCCAAGCAACCTCATTGGAAAAATTAATTTCTGTCACTTTGCTAATGGTCTTTTTCTGCCTGAGCAAAAGGAGAGCCTTTAAAAACCCCTCAGCACATAAAGATGGGGACAATGTGTCTGGCGGGATAACCCGGCAATTAGTGCTATTGCCAGCATCACGCAGTACATTAGTGTGTGTCCTGAAAGAGGCTGGACTGTAAATCTCTGAAATTCACTGCCAGCGTGAAACTGTGAGATATCCCAGACACCGTCATGGACAGCAAAATGATGCAGAACCAGCTAGGGAACACTGAGCGCGGGGGAAAAACGGCAAGGAGAACCTGGAAAATACGTACGTGCCACGTGCGGGGGTCAGATAACTCCATGCCCAACAAAGTAAAGCAGCTTTGCTCCGGAATGATGCTTTTTTAAAATACAATAAATGGCTTAAATGCTGGCTGAGGGAGAAAAAACACGACTCTTTCTATGCTGTAAGAAAAGGCTGTGTGTCCCTCCCATCCATGGAGTCACCTCTGAGCAACACCCTGCTAGAAGTGGGTGCGAGGCTGCGCTACGGCTTGGCAGGACCAGGATCAGCTCTGGCTTAACAGGAAAGATTATAAAGAGAAGGTGGAGAAAAGAGAATCTGGGTGGATAGCAAGTAAATCCTGAGGCTGGGAAATGAAAAAAAAAAAAAAAAAAAAAAGGAAAACTTTCTAATCTCAGCTATAGAAATGCTGTCTGCAAAGTAAGATACAGCAGAGCAGGAATTAACTCCTCCAAAAGATATAGTGAAAAGCCCGGCTCTTGGCTTGTTTGAAGCCAACCTGATAAAAGACTTCAATTTCTCAAGGAGTTTATGGCGGAAATCAAGGCTGCGCCTGCAAAGAGAAGGACTCAAGGCAGCGCCGGGAGCAAGGTAGGAGCAGGCAGGGGCGTAGGGGGGGGATTACAGACCCCGTTACATGTCCTGCATACGTAGCAGACAGCAGGAAAGCCCCAGCCCCCCCTCCTCACAGCCATGCAGCATGGCTAACGCTCGCCGTGCTGGCAAGCAGCCCCGGCCAACGGCTGAGGCATCCCCAGTGACTTCTACAAGCAGAGCCTTTCCTCCTGGCTAGAGCTGGTTCCCAGGAAAAGCAGCGTTACTGGGGTCTTACGTGCAGTCGGGGTGAAGGACACCGGCCGGGGGCCACCGGGGTTCACGGGGGGCAGTGGCGGCATGTTGGGAGGAGAGGACCTGGACTGTATCTTCACTTCCACGGGCGATCCAGGCATCACTGGCACCCTCTTCTCACCAGCAACTGTACGAAGAGAAGGTGGTAACGCTTAGTGAGAGTCACGGACAAGCATTTCCCCGCCCAGCACACGAAGTACAGTTGCAAGGGTGAAGACGAGAGGCTGGGGGGAAGTCACGCAGGGCTCCCACGCTGCTCTGCACGGCCCCGAGCCGCTGCGGGGAAGAGGCAGGATACGGCCCCGAGCTGGGGGACAGGCACCCGGCATGTCCCGAGGCGTTCCCGGGCAGGCTCAGGCTGCCCGCATTCCCCATCCCAGTCTCTTGACTGCATCTCCTCACCCCTTGTGCCTGAAGATGCTTCCTCAAAGCGTTCCTGCCTGTTTGCTTTGCTTTCCCCACATTTGAGACCCCCTCGATACTCCCCAGGCGTGCCCACGCGCACCTCGCCAGCACGGGGTGCCGAGGTTTCACCTCCAGCCCTGCTCCCCACCCAGCAAAAACACGCTCGGAAGCAGCCACTTTGGCAAACAGCTCTCTGACCAGTTTTGCACGCTTGTTTTAAAAAAAAAAAACAAAAAACAAAAACAAAAACGAACAAAAAGCACTCAAAATGAAACGATCCTGCACCTCCTCTTCCTCACACCACGGCAGTCCTCGCTGCCCAGCGCGACCTCTCCGAGCCAGCACGCACGCAGCCTTGCGTGTACCCCGTGTCCACGCTGTCCGGCCCCGAGATGGCCTCTCCGGAGGAATTGCAACCTCTCTTGAAGCCATCAACACGCAACCTGGTTTTTGGATGGGTGCCGGCCCGGTGTGCAGGGAGCATCGGTGCGGCTGTGCCAGCAAGCGACCGAAACGGTCACAGGGGTAGCCGGCCTCGGCTGTCCGCGCCCCCCCTCCTGCATGCAGTCTCTGCTGTCTAAGACATCGCCAGCTCCCTCCGCAGCTTCTTTTTCAGCCTCTGAGGGTCCCTCCTGCGGGCCCAGGCTCTGGCGGGATGTCCCAGCTCAGCTGAACAGTGTGGCCACGCTCCTGGCTCCGGTGGCTAAAATCAGCCTCAGAAGGCATCCTCGGGGAGAAACGAGAGCGAAGGAGGAAATATGTGCTTAGGCAAGCCTTGGTTTTGGTTTGTTGGTTTTTTTTTTTAAATTTAT